TGGAATATTGTGTCCAATTCTGGGCACCACAATTGAAGAGAGACATTGACAAGCTGGAATGTGTCCAGAGGAGGGCGACTAAAATGATCAAGGGTCTGGAGAACAAGCCCTATGAGGAGCGGCTTAAGGAGCTGGGCATGTTTAGCCTGAAGAAGAGAAGGCTGAGAGGAGACTTGATGAGCCATGTATAAATATGTGAGAGGAAGCCACAGGGAGGAGGAGGAGCAAGCTTGTTTTCTGCTTCCTTGGAGACTAGGACGCGGAACAATGGCTTCAAACTACAAGAAAGGAGATTCCATCTGAACATGAGGAAGAACTTCCTGACTGTGAGAGCCGTTCAGCAGTGGAACTCTCTGCCCGGGAGTGTGGTGGAGGCTCCTTCTTTGGAAGCTTTTAAACAGAGGCTGGATGGCCATCTGTCAGGGTTTTGTTTTTGTTTTTTTGGTCATGTCAGGAGCAACTTGAGACCCAATACATCAAAATTTGAATGCTGGTGTGGTTGGGAGGGGGGGGGGTTTGATTTTGTCATTTGGGAGGTGTAGTTGCTGGGATTTATAGTTCACCTACAATCAAAGAGCATTCTGAACTCCACCAACAATGGAATTGAACCAAACTTGGCACACAGAACTCCCATGACCAACAGAAAATACTGGAAGGGTTTGGTGGGCATTGACCTTGAGTTTTGGAGTTGTAGTTCACTACATCCAGAGAGCACTGTGGACTCAAACAATGATGGATCTGGACCAAACTTGGCATGGATACTCAATATGCCCAAATGTGAACCGTGGTGGAGTTTGGGGAAAATAGACCTTGACATTGGAAGTTGTCGTTCCTGGGATTTATAGTTCACCTACATCAAGGAGCATTCTGAAATCCACCAATGATAAAATTGGGCCAATAACCAGAGAGCACTGAGGACTCAAACAATGAAGGATCTAGAAGAAGCCTGAAGAAGAGAAGGCTGTGGGGAGACATGATGAGGGCCATGGATCAAGATGTGAGGGGAAGTCATAGAGAGGAAAGAGCAAGCCTGTTTTCTGATGCCCTGTAGACTAGGACGCAATGGAGCAATGGCTTCAAACGACAGGAAAGGAGATTCCACTTGAACATTAGGAAGGGCTTCCTGTGAGAGCCGTTCAACGGTGGAACTCTCTGCCCCAGAGTGTGGTGGAGGCTCCTTCTTTGGAGGCTTTCAAGCCGAGACTGGATGGCCATCTGTCAGGGGTGCTTTGAATGCAAATTTCCTGCTTCTTGGCAGGGGGTTGGACTGGATGGCCCATGAGGTCTCTTCCAAATCTATGATTTGATGATTCTAAATCATTGAATCTGTGAACCCCACCTCCTCCAAGATGAACTGAACCACCTCAACTGGGCTCTCCAGGCCAATGGAGACTCCACCTCAGACATCAGAAGAGCTGCAAGACCAAGAACAAGCCACGAGAGTCAAGATGAAGATCCACCCAGAGGAAAAGTGTTCCTGCCATACATCAAGGGAAGCACTGACCGCAGAGGGAAGCTGATGAGGAAACACAACATACAAACTATCTACAGACCTAGCAAGGAAATCCAACCAATGCTCCGTTCAGCAAAGGACAAGAGGGATCCTCTCACCTCTGCAGGAGTCTACCGTGTACCATGCAGCTGTGGACAAGTCTACATAGGGACCACCAAACGCAGCATTGCCCAAACACGAATCAAGGAACATGAAAGGCACTGCAGACTACTTCAACCAGAGAAGTCAGCCATAGCAGAGCACCTGATGAACCAGCCTGGACACAGCATATTATTTGAGAAAACAGAAATGCTGGACCACACCAACAACCACCATGTCAGACTACACAGAGAAGCCATTGAAATCCACAAGCATGTGGACAATTTCAACAGAAAGGAAGAGACCATGAAAATGAACAAAATCTGGCTACCAGTATTAAAAAACTCTAAAATTACACCAGCAAAACAACAATCAGGACATCTAATCACCTCTGAACAAAAGATTGCCCCAGGCACTGCCAGGACACCAAATGCTAATCAAGGTGATCAGTTGAAACATTCACACCTAGCTCCAGCAGACAAGAGTCCTTTGTCCCACCCTGGTCATTCCACAGATATATAAACCCATTGTCCTAGTTCCAACAGACCTCACTACCTCTGAGGATGCTTGCCATAGATGCAGGCGAAACGTCAGGAGAAATGCCTCTAGAATATGGCCCTATAGCCCGAAAAAACCCACAAGAACCTGGTCCCACATTTGTTTCTGGCCAAGTCTCCTTCCTTGGGGCTGCGTGCTTTCTCAGGCCTCCCCTGTTCCTTGTTGAGGCCTCTCTCTTTCCACTAAGTCATTTCTCCATGCCTTGCCCCAATAATCTAAATAGCCAAGCAAGCCTGACATTCAGACAACTCAACACAATGCCTTCACAAAAAGCAATTAGTACACTACACTAACAGCTAGCTCAGGTATTACATGCAAGTTTCCATACTAATGCTATCACTTAGCCACAAACAGGCAGATGGAGAAACTTGATCAACTGAAATATCTTTGCAGACTTCTCACCCAAGGTTTCTGATGCCCAACATTATGAAAAATGCATGAGGTTGCAAGGAAAAAACTGTTATAGCTGACCTTGTACTAATCACCTCTCACCTCCATTGTTCCTCATCTATAAAAGATGGGGACAAGTGAGCAGCTTTGACCAGAGCGGATCTACAATAACTCAGAGGTAGACACGCATTTCTATATGATAAATAATGGGACTAAAGAAGGATTTAATACTCTATGCAAATCTTGCTTTCCAGTCGTCTGGGCAAAGGAGTCTTTTGGATTATTAGTTTGGATTCCCGATAAAGTTTTTTTTTTCATGTCAGGAGCAACTCGAGAAACTGTAAGTTGCTTCTGGTGTGAGAGAATTGGTCGTCTGCAAGGACGTTGCACAGAGGATGCCTGGATGTTTGATGTTTTACCATCCTTGTGGGAGGCTTCTGTGAGAAGCCACAGGGAGGAGGGAGCAAGCTTGTTTTCTGCTTCCATGGAGATTAGGACGCAATGGAACAATGGCTTCAAACTACAAGAAAGGAGATTCCATCTGAACATGAGGAAGAACTTCCTGACTGTGAGAGCCGTTCAGCAGTGGAACTCTCTGCCCCGGAGTGTGGTGGAGGCTCCTTCTTTGGAAGCTTTTAAACAGAGGCTGGATGGCCATCTGTTGGGGTTGCTTTGAATGCAATTTTCCTGCTTCTTGGCAGGGGGTTGGACTGGATGGCCCATGAAGTCTCTTCCAACTCCATGATTCTATGCCCCCACATGGGGAGCTGGAGCTGACAGAGGGAGCTCAACCTTGGTGTCTTATTGGACCCTCTGCTCACAATGGAGGCCCAGGTCTCTGCTGTGAGCAGATCTGCGTTTTTCCACCTACGTCAGGCTAGGCGACTGGCTCCCTTCCTATCTAGGAATGACCTGGCTACGGTGATCCAGGCGACGGTCATCTCGAGGCTTGACTACTGTAACGTCCTCTACATTGGCCTTCCTTTGTCAGTGATCCGGAAACTGAAGCTGGTGCAAAATGCGGCGGCTCGTCTTCTTGCCGGTGCCGGCGAGGTGTCGTATCACCCCAATTCTCCAACAGCTGCACTGGCTACCGATTGAGTACCGGATTACTTTCAAGGTGATGGTACTAACCTTTAAGGCCTTACACAGTGTTTCTCAACTTCCTAATGCCGTGACCCCTTAATCCAGTCCCTCATGTGGTGGTGACCCCCAACCATAAAATTGTTTTCGTTGCTACTTCATAACAGTCATTTTACTACTGTTATAAATCATAATGTAAATATCTGACATGCATTCACTGGACCAAACTGGGCACAAATACCCAATACACCCAAATGTGAATGCTAGTGGGGTTGGGGGAGGATTGATTTTGTAATTTGGGAGTTGTAGTTGCTGGGATTTATAGTTCACTTATAATCAAAGAGCATTCTGAACTCCACCAGCGATGGATTTGAACCAAACTTGGCTCCCATGACCAATGGAAAACACTGGAAGGGTTTGATGGGCATTGACCTTGAGTTTGGGAGTTGTAGTTCACCTATATCCAGAGAGCACTGTGGACTCATGCAATGGTGGATCTGGACCAAACTTGGCACAAATACTCAATATGCCCAAATGTGAACACTGGTGGAGTCTGGGGAAAATAGATCTTGACATTTGGGAGTTGTAGTTGCTGGAATTTATAGTTAATTACAATCAAAGAACATTCTGAACTCCACCAGCGATAGAATTGGCTCAAACTTCACACATGGAATCCCCATGACCATCAGAAAATACTGTGTTTTCTGATGGTCTTTGGCGACCCCTCTGACACCCCCTCGCGACCCCCTCAGGGGTCCCGACCCCCAGGTTGAGAAACACTGGCTACATGGTCTGGGGCCAGCATACCTGAGGGCCCGCTTATCCCCCTACCAACCCCAGATATTACTTTAGTCTGAAGACCAAAATTAGCTTGAAGTCCCCAACATCCGGACTTATCATCTGTCCTCGACTCAGCTGAGAGCCTTCTCAATTGTGGCCCCTTATTTATGGAATGCCTTGCCAGTTGAAACCCAATCTATCCGAGAGCTACTTGCTTTTCGGAAAGCCTGTAAAACCCTTCTCTTCCGACAAGCTTTCGATGGGTGAATAACTCGGGACTATGTCTGTTCTCATTTTTATTGTATTTTAAAGTTAATTGTATTGTTTTAATCCACTGCTGTAAACCGCTCCAAGCCAAATTGGGAGTGGCGGTATACAAGTCAAATTTATAATAATAATAATAATAATAATAATAATAATAATAATAATAATAATATAATAATAGCCTGCTCTCCTTGAATCCGAACTGCTGACTTTTCGGTCAGCAATCCGGCAGACGTTTAACCCATTGCCCCAATGGGTTATGGACCCAACACACCCAGGTCTGTCCACCCCCATTTAAAGCCTGAAAAAAACAGGAACGACACAACGACACAACTTGTTATGAACTCAGTAAGGTCTTTATTTTCTTAAGCAAAGAATTAAATATAACAAAATTACTCTGTTCCGCAATGACCTCCGTTTAGCACACACAGAACACAAAAAAGTAAGAAAAAAAAATCAAGGACACACTTTTTTTGTTTTGAAAAACTCGGAACCTTAAGCATATTTAGAAAAATTGCATTGCTAGTTGCAAACCTTCATCCCAAGACCACTGGCCCCAATGGATCCGATAAGGAGCCAGCAGCAACGAGAGTCACTCGCAGACATGAAACCTTTTCAGGGCAGCATTTTTTTTTTGTTTCCAAAGGAATTAGGAATGTGGAAGTGGCGGTTTCCAAAAAGTCTGTTTGGAAGCAAAAAATTGCCAAAGTAGACTTTTTTTTTAAAAAAAAGGAACGAACACAAAAAAAAGCCTCACACTCCTCTCACTCGGATAAGGCAGCTGCAGTGACAGAAATCAAAGAGTGCACACAGGTACAGGTCGAGCTTCCTGAGGTGTTTGGAGATATCCCTCTGCTTGGTTATGTCCAGAAGAAAAAAATGGAACCTCTCTTTTGAAAAGTTGTGCTTTCTGAAATGAGAAGAGAGGCTGCCTAGAAGGAATCTATGCGCTGACTACTACATACAGCTGTGATGGAATCAGCTTGGGAGGGCATAGATTCAAAGGGACTGAACACAACCGTGGGTCAACCCAGATGCCAGGTTTAGTGCTTCAAGTTCACAAGAGTCGCTTGAATCAGTGTTAACGCTTAGATAGGCACTGCTTTTGCGCTCTCTCTGATATGAAGTGGAACTTCCTTCCATTGGGGCAAGGCTTTCTGCACAGAGGCATTAATGCACATCTTGCTACTGGCACAAGAGTATTGATGCTGAATGACAAAATCCACCGCTCAGGAGGCAATGGGTTGTCCTAGAATAAATGCATGGTGGACCCAAGAATGGAGGATTCCTGCCTCCGTTTGCCAAAAATGGGGAGGAAAAGGAGGAAAAGCTGAAAGGAGGGGAGCCAATTCTCAGTTCCAGCTTAGCAAATGCTGCCCTTTCAGGCTTGTGCCCTTTCGCATAACCAGCAAAAAAGAACAAAACACCACATACTTTAAAGGAGATACAGTACAGTTACTGATAATAAAAAAGACACATTTTCCCACCCAGATGATTTCATCTCATTTTGCAATGCGTCCGTGACAAAGACCCTTTCGAGAGAAAAGCGGACTTTCAGAAAATAATTCGAGAGAGGAACGTCAGTAAGACAGCACAACAGGATGTTTACAAAGGCCACAAATTCCAGGAGCACTGTATAGCATTTCCTCATCTGGATTGAAGCCTTGCTCTTTGAGCAAATGACCTTCAATTCCACATACACACTTTTTACCTTCATTGTTTCCAGCTGTAATAAGTGGACCTGATATGCACTAAGACCTCAGAGGAAAACTGCCAATAAAAACAGGCAAAGAGGAGGAAATGCAACTTGGACACTTCTAAACATCTTCCTAGTTACTGCTGCAGAAGCTGCTAACTAAATCAAAACAAAAAACTGGACCCTCTTTGTGCGTCTCCCTATAGAGCAGTGGTTTTCAACCTGAGAGTCCCCAAATATTTTGGCCTTCAACTCCAAGAAATCCTAAAAGATGGTAAACTGGCTGGGATTTTGGAGAGTTCAAGGCCAAAACACCTGGGGACACACAGGTTGAGCACCACTGCACACAGAGGCATATTCTATATGATAAAAATCCTCAGAATCCAGAAGTAACCCCAAACGAAGACCAACGAAATTGACCTTATACTGGGAAACAATAAAAATTGAGGAAAACTATTAACTATCTGCATGTCCTTTGGAGATGACTATGGCTGACTGTAGGAGCATGTCTGATAAGAGAAAAAAGGATCAAAAATGTATTGTCGAAGGATTTCATGGCTGGAATCACTGGGTTGTTGTAGGTTTTTTCGGGCTATATGGCCATGTTCTAGAGGCATTCTCTCCTTAGGAGAGAATGCCTCGAGAACATGGCCATATAGCCCAAAAAAACCTACAACAACCCAGGATCAACAATGTTTTTTTTAAAACAAAATGTATTTACCACATGTATGGTACAGAACTGTAAACATGATTACTTCCAGATAAAGAGTGGAGAACATGTGGCTCTTCCGATAGATGGCAACTCCTACTGATCTTAGCCAACATAGAAGTGGTTCTCAATCTGTGTGTCTCTGGATGTTTTGGCCTACAACTCCCAGAAATCCCAGCCAGTTTACCAGCTGTTAGGATTTCTGGGAGTTGAAGGCCAAAACATCTGGGGACCCACTGGTTGAGAACCACTGAAATATAGTTTGATGAGAGACAATGGAGTTGCAAATTGGAGTCACAGTTCAATCACTGATCTAAACATATTTGTTTAGATCAGTAATTCTCAACCTGTGGGCCTCCAAGTGTTTTGGTCTACAACTCCCAGAAATCCCAGCCAGTTTAGGATTTGCGGGGGTTGAAGGCCAAAACATCTGGGGACCCACAGGCTGAGAACCACCAGTTTAGATACAAACCAAATTCTTTGAGTACCAATGCTTATTTAGGATGTCAGAATGTCACCATTGGGCAGTGTTCACTTCCCATTAAACATTGACAGGTCCAATTTACCAAAAAAATAAAAAATAAAGGAGGAATAAATATTTCAACGTGTTTACATTTTCTTTTTCAGTCTCTTTCAGCAAGATGGTGAGTAGCAGCAACAATTGGATCTCATTGGGAATCAGAAGGGATTTAGAATCATGTCAATGTTTCTTTTCAATTTTTTTTCAATATTCAAAAAGGTTTGATTTCCGCTTACTAAGTGCTTATTGTCCTACTCTTTTCCCTACACAGGGTCTTTTCATTTTATTGTTTTATGTGGTTTTACTTGATGCTCAACTAATGGCAGAACCTCATTTTTCCAGCTCAGCTGCCTACTTTTCTCTTCTCCTTGTCAGGGAGACCAAGCCTGGGATGCAACTGACACGCATCCAGTGAGTGAGAATTTGGGCCCTTCTCTTTGTTTCTCATCTGTGTTATCCAGATAGAACTTTCTTCTAAACATGAAAACAACCTCCGAGGAATTGGCTGCACTTGTCTTCTATTCCAAAGAGTTTAAAACCACAAGTTCCTCTCTGAAAAGGCTAGATAGAGGCATAGCGATAATCATCCCTGAGTTTAAAAATGCCGCAAAAGGCAGGGATATGTGGCTTTTCCTTGTGTGCACCCAAAACCAATGAACCACAGGAGGGCTTCTGGACAGACCCCTCATGCCTTCCTCCAGCGGGGAAAGGTCAGGGAAAGAACCCTGAGTTGCAAAGAACCCGGCTGTCTTCTCGGGTGAGAATTTGTTCCATTCCATTACATCAGAGGAAGATATTTCTTATGCAGAAGACAATGCTATTTTCTTTCTGCTGTGTAGCATCCCACTCTTTGAAAAGCGAAGCTGATGGGGAAGGTGGCTCTCAGCAACAGGTCTTATTGGCTGCGAAAAGTAAAAGCTTTATGCTATGGAGGAGGCTAAACTACCATCTTTGATATTGATGTGAAAGGAGCCAATAGCTGACTCCCTTTCAGCTCACTTTGTGAAACCTACTGGGAATAAATAAACTCAATTAACTCGTGTTTTCTATACTGTGGGTAAGGGTAAAGGTTTCCCCTGACATTGAGTCTAGTCGTGCCCTACGCTGGAGAGTGGTGCTTATCTCAATTTCTAAGCTGAAAAGCCAGCGTTGTCCATAGATGCCTCCAAAGTCATGTGGCCAGCATGCCTGCATGGAGTGATGTTGCCTTCCCATCAGAGTGGTACCTATTGCTCTAGTCACATTTGCATGTTTTCGAACTGCTAGGTTGGCAGAAGCTGGGCCTAACAGAGGGAGCTCACCCCACTCCCCGGATTCGAATCGCCAACCTTTTGGTCAGCATATTCAGCAGCTCAGTTAGGCCACCAAGGGGCCCTTTTATACAGTACGTTAAACACCTATTCTGCTCAGGAGGAAAAGAAGTATTTAATATTCCCTAACCAGCACAATCCCAACTTCAGCTGCACACAACATTTCTGGGATCCTTATATTGGTATCTGATCATGTATGAATATGCAGGAAATGTCCAAAGACAACATAGAATAAGTTGAGAAACAACATCAAAGCCTACATTTTGGGAGGGACAGAGAAAGAAAGCCTTAAGGACACTGGCATCTTTCAGCTCGGTCCTTTTGTTGCGTCTGAGGGAGAAGTAGAGCCTGCCACCTCTCACTAGGAAATCGGTGTTTAGGTCACACAGCCTGCTAAGATGACAAAGTCACTGGACAAATAAGGCAGGAGAAACCTGACGTGAGGAATGCACCTTTGAAAAAAGTACCTAATTATTGCTCACTTAAAGAAAAAAGAGCCGCCCTCCCAAACACAAGGGACATCTTTCTGAACGTCAAAGCTGGTCCAAGATGCTCCGCACAGAACCCAAGGCTTCATGCCCATGGACCGCAAACAGACAAAAAAAGGGCACGGTAACCTAAAGTGCCTAGGTAGCAAAACTAAAGTTTAAAATCATAAAGTGCTAAATGATAAGAGGAACCTCTGAGGAGAGAATGGCTGTAACAGAGAATGAGGAAATGGAGCCACGAGGAAGGGTGTTGAAGAGAAGCAGAGTCCCTCTAACCTAAGACTGCCATGGTCTCAATAAAATCATCTTCACAATTTGATGTTTAAAATTCTCCTAAATATCATTCCTTTGATAAGTTTCAGGAAAATGAGGCTGTTTCTTCACTGCATCTCTTCCTAATACAACATTCACAACATCCTACCAATGTCCTCTTGCTGAAATACAATAAGGACAAGCAGACGCATAGCTGTGTCCTATGGAACCCACTAACAGCCGAGGCAGCTCTTGCACAAATATTTCTAGCTGTCCAGCATCGTCGACACCAAAACCCCAATATTCCTAAGGGAAGAATGGTGCCTAAAATAGCCACTCAAAATACTTGGGATTTCTTTTGTTTTTCTTTCTCTGTTCCTATGGGCACATACACTGTTTTTCTATCGAGTCCCAAGAAAGGAAAATCAAAACAAAACATCCACAGGCTGGTAGCAACTCACTTCCCATTTGTAGACTGTGTTAAAAGGCCTGGGTTTAAGAGCACACTAAGTCCTGTGTCAAAGTAAAATTCCTTACATTAGAAAAGGCAAAAGTATCACAAGGCTACTTGTTTAGTCCCAAGAGGTAACAGAACGATCTAGGTGTGAAATTCCAACATGAAAGACAAACGTGTGACTCAACGCCGTTGCTCCAAAACACTGGAGCAACCGAAGTGCAGACCGCACTCCAAATATTCCCAATGCAATCTAAACCTCAGCGGTGCGCTTATCAAAAAGGGCATCAGCCTTTGTTGAGATGCAATTCTCAAAATGCAAGGCTCCGTATCATTTCCCAGGTTTGGTGGGCACCGATTACTTGCAGAAGAAAGTGGCTGATTTCTTCTACCAAATGATATAAACTTCCCTCTACTGGAAGCGGAAACGCAAGGACAAAGAGAATGGCACTCGTAACTCACATTGCTGACAGCTATACAAGTTTTGCAAAAAAACCCAGATAAGGTTATTTCTAGATTGTTTCTTCATCAGAGAAAAAGTGAGCAGAGAGCCAAGAGTACTGGAACCGCTTGTGACTTTCACAACGATTCTGTCGCCGAATGTTTTCGGAATCTTGAAGCAAGCTTACGGATCGTAATCCACCGACAGAGCGAATCGGTTCTCTCAATGCAATAGAGAGCGCTGCAAACATTCAAACTTGCTCAAGTTGCATCAAAACCAGGCATTAACTCCTTGGATAGCAACCTCCGCTCTGGCGTGAACCACTGTGGTCCAGCGCCAAAGATCAAGACAGCGAAGAAGTCAGTCCTGGAAAAGAAGGAGAGGAAGGAAAGATTTCCAGAAGAGGAGGATTAAGGTGACAGAGCCTGAAGCCTCTTTGGGATCGTTTATTCTTGGCCAGATGACTGTTCTGTGTCAGAGCACTGAGATTTGTTCCTCTCCCACTGGCAGATGGCATTGGCATATTGCACCACAAGCTTATCCATCCAGGTGAGGGGCTCGGGAAAGAGTACTGCGCCCTCAAAGAAGCCCAGGTGGCCTCCGTGCAACGGCAAAACAAACATGACGTTCTCCCGTTTTTCTGAAAGAGTGAAAAATAACATTTAGAACACAGTAATAAGTAGTCTGGGTGTCATAAGGAAGAGGGAGCAGACTTGTTTTCTGTGTTCCTGGAGGCTAGGGGCCTCGTCACACTAGACAAAAAATCCACTTAAAATCCGGTTTCTGCCTCCTGCAGAATTCTATGGTTTGTAGTTTAGGGAGGAGCCTTTAACAGTCTCACTAAACTATAAACTCCAGGAGGCAGAAACCAGATTTTAAGTGGATTTTTTCTCTCGTGTGATGAAATAGTTAGACTCAGAGCAATGGGTTCAAATAATAGGCAAGGAGAGTCCACCTGAACTTCCTGACCATAAAAGCTGTTCAACAGTGGAACTCTCTGCCTTGGAGTGTGGTGGAAGCTCCATCTTATTTTATTTATTTATATATTTATTGTATTTGAATACCGCCCCTCTCAGCCCTCAGGCGACTCAAGGCGGCTTACAAGGCAAAATTCAATGCCACAAAGCACAAGTACAATTTAGAAACATTAACATACATAAAATCATAACAACAGCAATAAAACATGTCATTAATAAATGTATTAAAACATTGTCCAGTCCCATCGTATAGTTGTTCCATTGTCCTATATCCACTACTCTGTATTTGCAAAAGCTTGCTTGAAAAGCCATGTCTTGAGCTTCTTCCGAAATGTTAACAGGGAAGAAGCTGATCTAATATCCTTGGGGAGGGCATTCCATAGTCGAGGGGTCACCATCGAGAAGGCCCTGTCTCTCGTCCCCACCAGACGTACTTGTGACAAAGGCGGGACCGAGAGCAGGGCCTCCCCAGATGATCTTGGGATGGTTCATAAAGGGAGATGCATTCGGACAGGTAAGTTGGGTCGGAACTGTTTGGAGGGTTTTAAACAGAGGCTGGGTGGCCATCTGTTGGGGGTGCTTTTCCTGCATGGCAGAACGAGATTGGACTAAGTGGTTCTGCATCTCAACAAACTTCTTTGCCTGTGATTAATACCAGGTTTAAGGGGACGAAAGGCTACTCTGGGACACACACTCAACATGCAGCTAAGAATACTGCCATAATAATGTTCTATCACAAGAAGATCTAGAATTAGATTGGTGAATACATGCAACACAGCTTTTGCTGAAGGAGCACCCTAGTCAAGGACATTAGGCTGGCTCCATCTCTTTTAAGTGGGAATCCCAAACAGTGCTGTTCTGCAGGGTGGAATTTCGGCTACCGTATTTCTTCAAATGTATGATACCATTGATTGTAAAATACACCTTAATTTCAGTACCGCCACCAAAAATACACCTGTGATTCGAAGATGCTGAGTGCATCTTACAATTGAAGAAATTCATTATTAACTTGCATTTTAGGGTTGTTTTGGACTGCTTTTAGCCATTTTTAAAGAGTATTTTAATGTATTTTAAAATGTTATCTTTGTATGGCTTTAATTGGTTTTTTGTTTGTTCATTGGCTCAGGAACCCTTTAAGCTGGGAGGTGACAGTAAATAAATAACTTTACATAAATAAAAATGATTCATTATTCGAGATAGAGGATTGCAATCAATAACAACAACAGTCTGTCCTAAGTTCCTCCCAGAGACCCTTCTAGAAATCAGGCCTCCCAATCCCCTTGATCTATTTCTCTTACGTGTTGTCGAAGGCTTTCATGGCCGGAATCACTGGGTTGCTGTGAATTTTCCAGGCTGTATGCCCTTATTCCAGAAGCATTCTCTCCTGACGTTTAGCCCACATGTATGGCAGGCATCCTCAGAGGTTAGAAGGTCTTTTGGAAACTAGTCAAGTGGGGTTTACATATCTGTGGAATGTCCAGGATGGGAGAAAGAACTCCTGTCTGCTGGAGGCAAGTACGAATGTTACAATTAACCACCTTGATTTGCATTTAATGGCCTTTCAGTTTCAAAATCTGGCTGGTTGGTACCTGGGGGAATCCTTTATTGAGAGGTGTTAGCTGGCCCTGATTGTTTCATGTCAATAATTCCCCTCAAAAAGCTTAAAAAGCAGGGGAATTCCAGACAAGAATCAATCAGGGCCAGCTAGCACCTCCCAAAAAATGATCCCCGGACAGCAGGCAGCCAGGCTTTGAAGCTGCAAGGCTATTCAAGGCTAATCAATCTGGCCAATTGCAACATTTACATTTGCCTCAAGCAGAGAAGAGTTCTTTCTCCCGCTCTGAATATTATTCCACAGAGATATAAACCTCTCTTGCCTGGTTTCTAAAAGACCTCACAACCTCTGAGGATGCCTGGCATAAATGTGGGAGAAATGTCAGGAGAGAATGCTTCCGGAACATGTCCATACGGTCCAGAAATCTCACAGCAACCCAGTAACAACAACAGTCTGTACTGGGTTCCTCCCAGAGCCCCTTCTAGAAATCAGGTCACCCAATCCCCTTAATATATTTTTATGTCAAAACTGAAACTCTAAAGCTCTTGTGTGGTTGCATGGTGGACTACAAACACTGACTGTGCTATTAAAAAATATGACCAATTCCACATGTAACAACACTACCTTCTTTCATGCATCCCCAATCCTATCATTAGACCATCACAATGCATTAATCTGCCTTGCTGACTGTTGGAATTCAGTCTTCAACAGAACAATGGAATTCTTTCACAATACAATCAAGTTTGGAAAGAAAACCTTCCTTTCGAAGCTTTCCGCTCACCTGAGAGGGCTCTTGGGATTGATAAGAGACTATCATGTACCAGAGGGTCATCAGCAGCATTAACCAACAAGAGTGGAACAAAGATCTGCAAACACACGCAAAAAAGGGAGTGATTAATAAGGTTTAAGTTTGAATTTCTTTCTCTGAACAACAAGGTGCTTTTCGAGAGTGGTCTAAAGAAGTGTGCGCTCTCCTTGCATGGAAACAGCTCTGTAGCTTTGTGTCCACCCAGTCATTTTTTTTAGTGCCGTTTGAAGTGATTTCTTCAATTTGCACTAGGTATCTTCCAAAGCCTTTTTTAAAAACTGAGGTTGTTTATGGTTATTGCTTTTTTAAAAACAAAATTTCTTTAAAGAATTATAGTGCAAGGTGCCATTTTCAAATTCACTGATTCACGATCGCTGAGTGTGTTAATGAGTGGGTGATCGAAGTGGCAAGTTAGTTATGCAGCTATATTTACATTTCAGGAATTATTCTAAACTAGCCGTCCCCCTGCCACGCGTTGCTGTGGCCCACATGGGGGTTCTGTGTGGGAGGTTTGGCCCAATTCTATAGTTGGTGGGGTTCAGAATGCTCTGTGATTGTAGGTGAACTATAAATCCCAGCAACTACAACTCCCAAATGTCAAGAGTCTATTTTCCCCAAACTCCACCAGTGTTCACATTTGGGCACATTGAGTCTTCGTGTAGAGTTTGGTCCAGATCCATCATTGTTTTGAGTCCTCAGTGCTCTTTGGATGTAGGTGAACTACAACTCCAAAACCAAAGAACACTGCAGTGCCCACCAAATCCTTCCAGTATTTTCTGTTGGTCATGGGAGAACTGTGTGCCAAGTTTAGTTAAATTCCATCGTAGGTGGGGTTCAGAATGTTCTTTGATTGTAGGTGAACTATAAATCCCAGCAACTAGAACTCCCAAATGACAAAATCATATTTTTTTGAGTGAAGAACATACATTGGGTTGTCAGGTGTCTTGTGTCCAAATCCGGTGTCAATTTCCCCAGTGGTTTTTGAGTTCTGTTAATCCCACAAACAAGCATTACATTTTTATTTATATAGATGACTGGGCTCCTCCACAATTGATTCCAAGTTTAACACGCATGCACACCTAAACGGCATGTATCAAAGAGGTGCACAAAATATTCTATTCCACTAAAAAGAACCAAAGTAACAGTATTTATTGTGGCAACTCACTCTGTGCAAGTAATGCAGACAGCTCTCCTGTTCATAATATTCCTTTAAGGAATTGTAGCCGTGGAACTTCCTGAGACACAAAGAAAGAAAGTGCATGAGAGAAATTTTCTTCCCACTGAGTCAGATGCAATTTTCTTCTAGTTTCTATAACACTATTAAAAGAGTATCCTGTACTTGGGTATACAGAATAAGTGCGGTATTTCAGTGCATTTTGAAGCGTGATATCTGACTAGGGTTCAGAAGGAACTACTTAATGAAACAGCTAAAGCAGGGGTCCTCAAAGTAAGGCTCGAGGGCCGGATGCGGCCCTCCAAGGTCATGGATAAATGGTAGAGAAGACATACATGCACAGCTATATGTAATATTTTGAACAGGCTTTCGGCTTGACCATCCCAGCCAAAATGTGAGAAATTAAATGCATTGCTGGCCCTCCTTAAGACACATTAATGCTCCTTTCTGAACATGCAGAAGGAACTTCTCCCATGTCGGACTCCTATTTCATCTAAGAACAAAAGACTCTCATTTGCACCATCACTTCACCATCTTTAAAATGGATCCCATAACACTGATTTATTATCAGGAATTCAAACACTCCCTTCAGTCCCAAATGTTGTTTTGTGCAGGCCATTAACAAAGAAGCCATCTACCATTTTTCTCCACAATAGGTTTTAGTATTCCCAACAGCAGAAGCAAAAATAAGCATGGAGTCAGAAGTCTAGCAACTCTTATTTTGCCTTTTTGGAAATACAGGTCTTACAAAGGGTAATACTAAGCTGAAAATCACGGGAATCGTCTGATTTCCTGCTGTAGCGCTATAAACAAGACTTGGTGTATTACGAAGTATGGGAAACTATTTCTAATTGAGGAAGGTTTAATCTAATTTCTACCTAAGACTACCAAAAGGTATCATTTGGCACGGGAAAACCTACCCTTGAAACGCCAAGAGGAGTTCAGCTATGTGATACAATGCATAAGAAGTTGTAAGCACTGATAAAACAATCATAACTTGCTCAGGAAATCTGAGGCCGCTTGGCTAACTGTACTCTGCCTTCATGCACCACAAGCTTTGGCCACTAACCAAGTACCACCCTCCCAAGGGAATATAACCTGCAACAATAACAGATTAGTGCATTATTTTTTTCATATGATAACACAAAAAAATGCACTTCCATTTTCAAAAGTCTGTTTCTTATATATAAAAGCATTTTTCTCCTATGAACTTGTAATAAGTGCTTAAGACAGCATTTCTCAACCTGGGGGTCAGGACCCCTGGGGGGGGGGTCACAAAGGGGGTGTCAGAGGAGTCGCCAAAGACCATTAGAAAACACAGTATTTTCTGCTGGTCATGGGGGTTCTGTCTGGGAAGTCTGGCCCAATTTTATCATTGGTGAAGTTCAGAATGCTCTTTGATTGTAAGTAAACTACAAATCCCAGCAACTACAACTCCCAAATGTCAAGGTCTGTTTTCCCCAAAATCCACCAGTGTTCACATTTGGGCATATGGAGTATTCGTGCCAAGTTTGGTCCAGATCCATCATTGTTTGAGCCCACAGTGCTCTCTGGATGTTGGTGAACTACAACTCCAAAACTCAAAGTCAATGCCTACCAAACCCTTCCAATATTTTCTGTTGGTCAAGGGAATTCTGTGTGCCAAGTTTGGTTTAATTCCATCATTAGTGGAGTTCAGAATGCCCTTTAATTGCAGGTGAACTATAAATCCCAGCAACTCCCAAATGACAAAATCAACCCCCCCCCCCCCCCCAAACCCCACCAGTATTCAGATTTGGACGTTCTGGCTATTTGTGCCAAATTTTTGAATGAAAATACATCCTGCATACAGATATTTACATTACAGTATCATTAACATTACTGTTTACATATTTACATCAACAGTAGCAAAATTACAGTTATGAAGGAGCAACAAAAATAATTGTATGGTTGGGGGTCAGCACAATATGTGGAATTGTATTAAGGGGTTTCAGTATTAGGAAGATTGCGAACCACTGGCTTAAGTTCTACTAAGGGAATGACATATGATGCATATACCAAATTGAACCATGGGTGTATGCTGAATGAAATACCTCTAAATACAAGCTACTACATTAAAGTAAAACGTTTTAACAATAATCTAAGATGGATTTTATAGAAAAGCAGGAGAGCCTCAACTATATATTTTGACTCTAACCAGCTCAGCAACTCAACATCAAGCAACCAACAAGATTTGCCCATTTACAGAATGCGAGCCAATGGTATCTTAAAGAGAAAGAGAGAGAGAGAGTTGGGAGTGGGATGTTTCTGGGAATTCAGTGGACAATAGTGCTCACAGAAGTGATAATTTCAAAAAAGGTTTAAATGACAGCATGTCAACTTTCCCAAATGTTGCACCCTTCAGATTACTATTATTATTATTATTATTATTATTATTATTGTTTATCGTCATCCACTGGCTGTCTTTGCCTCGGTCTTCTCACAAAAGGAGAGTCTTCAACCTCAGCAAGATGGAGTGGATGAGGGATTGGAGGACATCCAACCCCAAATTGGGAAAGAAGTCGTCCAGGAATACCTGGCCGCTCTTAACGAGTTCAAGTCCCCAGGGCCAGATCAACTACACCCCAGAGTATTGAAGGAACTAGCGGAAGTCATTTCGGAACCATTGGCAACCATCTTTGAGAGTTCTTGGAGAACGGGAGAAGTTCCAGCAGATTGGAGGAGGGCCAATGTGGTCCCAATCTTCAAGAAGGGAAAAAAGGATGACCCAAACAACTACCGTCCGGTCAGCCTTACGTCGATACCGGGCAAGATTCTGGAAAAGATTGTTAAGGAAGCGGTCTGCAAACACTTAGAAACAAATGCAGTCATCGCTAATAGTCAACATGGATTTATCAAAAACAAGTCATGCCAGACTAATCTGATCTCTTTCTTCGATAGAGCTACAAGCTGGGTAGATGCGGGGAATGCCGTGGATGTAGCGTACCTGGATTTCAGTAAGGCCTTCTTTGACAAGGTCCCCCATGACCTTCTGGCAAGGAAACTAGTCCAATGTGGGCTAGGCAAAACTACGGTGAGGTGGATCTGTAATTGGTTAAGTGGACGAACACAGAGAGTGCTCACTAATGCTTCCTCTTCATCTTGGAAAGAAGTGACAAGTGGAGTGCCGCAGGGTTCCGTCCTGGGCCCGGTCCTGTTCAACATCTTTATTAATGACTTAGATGAAGGGCTAGAAGGCATGATCATCAAGTTTGCAGACGACACCAAATTGGGAGGGATAGCCAATACTCCAGAGGACAGGAGCAGAATTCAAAATGATCTTGACAGATTAGAGAGATGGGCCAAAACTAACAAAATGAAGTTCAACAGTGACAAATGCAAGATACTCCACTTTGGCAGGAAAAAATGAAATGCAAAGATACAGAATGGGGGACGCCTGGCTCGAGAGCAGTACGTGTGAAAAAGATCTTGGAGTCCTCGTGGACAACAAGTTAAACATGAGCCAACAATGTGATGTGGCGGCAAAAAAAGCCAATGGGATTTTGGCCTGCATCAATAGGAGCATAGTGTCTAGATCTAGGGAAGTAATGCTACCCCTCTATTCTGCTTTGGTTAGACCACACATGGAATATTGTGTCCAATTCTGGGCACCACAATTCAAGAGAGATATTGACAAGCTGGAATGTGTCCAGAGGAGGGTGACTAAAAGGATCAAGGGTCTGTAGAACAAGCCCTATGAGGAGCGGCTTAAGGAGCTGGGCATGTTTAGCCTGAAGAAGAGAAGGCTGAGAGGAGATATGATAGCCATGTATAAATATGTGAGAGGAAGCCACAGGGAGGAGGGCGCAAGCTTGTTTTCTGCTTCCTTGGAGACTAGGACGCGGAACAATGGCTTCAAACTACAAGAGAGGAGATTCCATCTGAACATTAGGAAGAACTTCCTGACTGTGAGAGCCGTTCAGCAGTGGAAATCTCTGCCCCGGAGTGTGGTGGAGGCTCCTTCTTTGGAAGCTTTTAAGCAGAGGCTGGATGGCCATCTGTCAGGGGTGATTTGAATGCAATATTCCTGCTTCTTGGCAGGGGGTTGGACTGGATGGCCCATGAGGTCTCTTCCAACTCTTTGATTCTATGATTCTATGAGAGCATGAAGCTGATTCTTGCCATACCTCATGACGTTGTCATCAATCTGCATGAGAGACGTTGCTGTGTGCAGTCTGTTCAGGTCTGAATCTACTAAACTTTGAGGGTTTTTAGGTCCATCAGGAAACAAAGCTTGTCTGAAACATAGAGAACAAGGAAACATAAACACAAATGGCAATCATGCATACAACAGTCAGCAAGTCCTATCCGCCATGCATAACTAGAGATGCTTAACGTCAAATACTGTTTCCCTATGATGGCCTGGCTTGGTCAGGAAGCATTACAACAGCTACAATTACAAGGTTTTCAGACTGATCTATAGATCTATAATTATATATACTAATTTCAAATACGCATTTCCCCAAGAAACGTTTGCAAATCCCCTCCTCTATGTGCATTTCCCTCCTGCAATATTTGCAAACCCTATATATCTATGTTTATATCTATTTAGACATCTCTATATATGTGTGTATGCACACATTTCTCCTGCATTATTTGCAAGCCCTATATATCTATATTCATATCTATCTCGTCATGTCTATATATATGTGTGTGTGCATTTCCCTCTGTAATAATTGCAAGCCCTGTATGTATGTATGTGTGTGTGTGTGTGTGTGTATATATATATATATAGACATCTCTCTATAAATAGATATTTATATCTATATAGGATTTGCAAAGACTTGCAAACATGTGAGTGGAAAATTCATATATAAAATTATTTATATATATACACACATATATATACATGGATACACGGATACACAGATATACAGGTACCCCTATATATTTATCTATCTATCTATCTATCTATCTATCTATCTATCTATATCTATCTCTCTCTCTCTCTCTCTCTCTCTCTCTCTATATATATATATATATAGGATTTGCAGAGACTTTCAAACATGTGAGGGGAAAATTCATATATAAAAATAATGGATACATATGGATACAGATATACAGGTACATGGAAAACTCTAGATATCTATATGTATATAGGATTTGCAGAGACCTGCAAACATATGAGGGGAAAATTCATATATAACATTAATGTATATAGATAGGTAGGTAGGTAGAGATCTACACCGTAGGTACATAGGGATTGCAAAGGCTTTCAGGGGGAAATGCCTATATATCTGTAGCAGAAATGAACAAATATTTATAAGATTAATGGATATTCCTGACTTGCAAGGGCTTCTCTCCCCCTCCTTTCCCTTTTCAAAACATTCCAGCCTGGGAGGAGAAGCAGAGAAGAGGCAGAAAAGAAAACACACTGTTTAAGGAAGGGAAGATGCAAGAAAAATATATCATATATTTCAAGCAATGGCCTCCAGACTCTGCTGCCCGGCCTTGACCCCATTATAAGGGCTGAAAAACTCGGCTTATGTTCAAATATATTCGGTAGTTCTTTCATAGATTCCTATCCAAAAGATATTGAATGGATTAAACTGGAAGTCTACTCAATGATGACAGCACATTGGTCTAGTAAAGTATGCAATCTAAGCATCATGATAAGAAGCACTTCATGGGACAAACTGACATTCACTCCATTTAGATTATAACAAACACACTTCTGTACCTATGAGACAAGATGATTTTCTTCATATTATCTGCCATGAGGAAGTTGTAAAGTCTTCGGCACTGGTCCCACTGCATGAAGGTTTCTTGTGCCCTAAAGGTAATTGGAGGGGAAACTCGTCATTTCAAAGGCTTTCAAACCACTATTAATATTGTTTCCAAAATATAAATACTGAAAAATAAATAAAATACATTCCAAAACAAAACTTCTCTTTCAGGGAGTACCAAATATTATGAACACTTCTATCTTAGAATCATAGGGTCGGAAGAGACCTCCTGGGCCATCATCCAGTCCAACCCCATTCTGCCAAGAAGCAGGAAAATTATATTCAAAGCACCCCCGACAGATGACCATCCAGCCTCTGTTTAAAAGCTTTGAAAGAAGGAGCCTCCACCACACTCCAGGGCAGAGAGTTCTTCTTAATGTTTAGATGGAATCTCCTTTCTTGTAGTTTGAAGCCTTTGTTCCATTGCGTCCTAGTCTCCAGGGCACCAGAAAGGAAGCTTGCTCCCTCCTCCCTATGACTTCCTCTCACATATTTATACATGGCTATCATCATGTCTCCTCTCAACCTTCTCTTCTTCAGGCTAAACATGCCCAGCTTCTTAAGCCACTCCTCATGGGGCTTGTTCTCCAGACCCTTGATCATTTTAGTCGCCCTCCTCCGGACACATTCCAGCTTGTCAATATCTCTCTTCAATTGTGGTGCCCAGAACTGGACACAATATTCCAGGTGTGTCACAATACTCCTATTTTGAAAACCTCCGTTTAAAAAAGCATAGAAGCGTTTCATAAACATCCGGAAAAAAAAAAAAGGATTTCACCAGCAGGGGGACCAAAATTCCCAGATATCTGAGAATGAGGCAGCTAAGAGCTTGCAAAACAAGTCAAGTGCTAAGTCTTAAGTTGTTTCAACAAGTACTTCCTCAATTCGCTTGAGGATAAGGCATTACAAATATTGGCAGAGGACATATTAACCCCAAACTGTACTGGAAAACTACTCGGTAAACACAACAAGCTTTAGTCAGCAAGACAAAAATGTAGACATAGAATCCCGACCAAAGTATTTCAGGCAAAGAGAAAACATTTCAACATGTCCATTCGTTACATCTTAGATCTGCAACCCTAAATGCACACCAATGCCAAGGTAGGCATGGCTTTGTGAAGTCATTCCAGAATAATATTATCTCTTTTTTCCATAGAGTTACAAGCATGGTAGATGCAAGGAATGCTGTGGATGTAGCATATCTTGATTTCAGTAAGGCCTTCGACAAAGTCCCCCATGACCTTCTTGCAAGCAAACTAGTCCAATGTGGGCTAAGCAACACTACTATTAGGTGGATCTGTAATTGGTTAAGTAACTAAACTTAAAAGGTGCTCACTAATGGTTCCTCTTTATCCCGGAAAGAAGTGACTAGTGGAGTGCTGCAGAGTCCTGGTTCCAGTTGTGTTCAACTTCTTTATTCATGACTTGAATTAAGGTTCAGAGGGTGTGCTTATCAAGTTTGGAGATGACACTAAATTAGGAGGGATAGCTAATACTCCAGAGGACAGGATCAGAATTCAAAATAATCTTAACTCATTAGAGAACTCAGCCAAAACTAATAAAATGAATTTCAACATGGACAAATGTGAGATACTACATTTAGGTGATTCGGGCTCAACAACAGCCCATGTGAGAAAGGTCTTGGTGTCTTTGTGGACAACAAGTTGAACATGAGTCAACAGTGTCATGCAGCAGCTAAAAAAACTAATAGGATTTTAGACTGCATCAAAAGGATTCATGTCTAGATCAGGGATCCTCAAACTTTTTAAACAGAGGGCCAGGTCACAGTCCCTCAAACTGTTGGGAGGGCCAGATTATAATTTGAAAAAAACATGAATTCCTATGCACTGCCAGGATTTTGATTTTTTCCATAGCCAGGATTTTTTTTGTTTTTTTTTTTTTTGGGGGGGGGGGGACATCAGGATCTACTCTAGCAAACCTTTTGTATCGTTACCCCAAAACCCCCATGCATATGGGATATATTGAACATGGTGATCAGATCATGATATGAATAAACATAACAGTTTAAATAATGTACCAGTAAGGCCTTCTCGTGACCCACCATCAGAATTTCGGGAAGGGCTGAAGGTGGAAGGTGAGCTCCCAAACAAAAATAAATGAATTCTGCACATATCTTATTTGTAGTTCAAAAAAACACTTAATACAATAATTAAAATGAAGAACAATTTTAACAAATATAAACTTATTAGTATTTCAATGGGAAGTGTGGGCCTGCTTTTGGCTGATGAGATAGGATTGTTGTTGTTGTTGTGCTTTCAAGTCATTTCAGACTTAGGTTGACCCTGAGCGAGGGCCAGGTAAATGACCTTGGAGGGCCGTATCTGGCCCTCGGGCCTTAGTTTGAGGACCCCTGGTCTAGATCAAGGGAAGTCATGGTGCCTTTGTATTCTGCTTTGGTTAGAAGCAGAATACAGTCACCTGGAATACTGTGTTCAATTCTGGGCACCACAGTTCAAAAGACATATTGACAAGTTGGAAGGTGTCCAGAAGAGGACGACTAAAATGATCAAAGGTCTTGAGACCATGACTTCCTATGAGGAGCATCTTAAAGAACTGGGTATATTTATCCTGCAGAAGAGAGGACTGAGAGGATACATGATAGCCATGTATAAATATGTGAAAGGGTGTCACAAGGAAGAGGGAGCAAACTTGTTTTCTGCTGCCCTTGAAACTACGACAAGGAGCAATGGGTTCGAATTACAGGAAAGGAGATTCCACCTGAACATTAGGAAGAACTTCCTGACCATGCAAGCTGTTCAACAGTGGAACTCTCTGCCTTGCAGTGTGGTGGAAGCCCCTTCTTTGGAAACTTTTAATCAGAGGCTGGATGGCCATCTGTCAGGGATGCTTTGATTGTGATTTTCCTGCATGGCAGGCGGTTGGACTAGATGGCCCATGTGGTCTCTTCCAACTCTATTATTCTATGATTCTAAGCCATTTGCAAAAGAAAGATTCAACACCTTCCTCCTTTTTCAGGTTCAATTGATATTTGACACGAGTATTTTTGAGACGACACGGCATGTTAAGCTCGTGTTGTTCCCATTTCTAATCCTCTTGCTTTTAAGGATTTAATCTTGCCACAAGATTTCTGCAGCTGCACAGTCTGAAATATAAAGAGCGTCTTTGTTGTTCAGTCAGAAACCAGAGCTCTATTGAGATGTGTTCTGCTTATACAAAAACTGGCATTTCTTTAGTCTGGCTGTACTGCTTAACACTTGCGTCAAATAAAAATACTTGAGTAGCATTTAATTTTAAACATAAAAATTCTTAAGTTTGGCCAGTATTTAGTATTTTGTGAATGCAGCTGCTACAGCATAATTGACTTCAATGAATTTATTTCCTATGAAAAGTCTTCACAAACGAAGATTAAATTTTATTACAGGAAAGACTAAATACTCCATATATTTGTCTGGGTGAGTGATGGAATATACTACCACTTGACTTTTTAAATGATTGACAGGATACTTGGCAGAATAAAGAACATGGTGGGACTGGATTGTCCAAGATTCAGAAAAAAACCGATACACCTTCTTAGAGGACCCAAAGACCAACAGACCCAGATATATGGCATGCAGAATAATAATAATAATAATAATAATAATAAACCTTTATTTATACCCGCTACCATCTCCCGCAGGACTCGGTGCGGCTTACAAGAGGCCGAGCCCAAATACATCAGAAACAAAAAACACAACAACAATACAACAATAAATAACTCATAGCAAAGCAAAACAATAACAAAAATCACGACGCATTTAAAAACCTGTGGCAGGGCCAAATGTAATGGTTAATTTTTTTAAAAAAATGCTGGGCATGTCCAGGTGAAATAGGATGGATATTTTAGGGATAAATGGGTGTGCAGACAATTCTAACTGTCTTGTAAAATGCATTTGGGACAAGTTGCTTGGGATACCTTAATCTGGGAAGGCACACTGGAACATCCTTGTTTTCAAGCTCCTTCTAAAGACTACCAATGTTGGGGCATGCCTGATGTCCTTGGGGAGGGAGTTCCAGAGTCGTGGGGCCACCACTGAGAAGGCCCTGTCCCTCGTTACCACCAATCGTGCTTGCGATGCAGGTGGGATCGTGAGCAGGGCCTCTCCAGATGAACGAAGAGATCGTGTGGGTTCGTATACGGAAATGCGGTCATGCAGGTAATAATAATAATAATAATAATAATAATAATAATAATAATATCTTTATTTATACCCCTCATGGGACCCAAAGCGGCTTATGACATCTTAAAATCAAACAAACAAAAGACTGAACACATCAAAAATAAATATGAGTAAAATAATAAATATGAGCAAAATAAATAGGTAAAACCCATCAGCGATAGCATTTGACTCCTAGTAGGAAGCTTACCTTAATGCACTGTATCCTTGACACACGCTAATACAGCACAACACGCACTCCTGGTTAGACTGGTTCTCCCCAAGGTATTTGCACACTATATTCCCACCCAAGCTGAAGCCCACGACGACCAGCTTGGTCTGGGGATACGTCTTGCGGATGTAGTTTACCATGGATCCGAATTCCCAGGTGCAACCTGCAGACAACAGGAAGACCAAGCAAATTTTACCCCACAGACTGCATCACAGACTTCCTTCAAGGCTCATTGACACATTTTAAAAAGACATTGTTTCTAATTACCTATCTATCCATACACATAATAAAAGTGAAAATCTGTATACATAAAAAGTGAAAATATGTATGTGTGTCTGTGGTAGGAGTGTCCACTTACACAGACAGCCTCCCTCCTCCATAAACTGCTTTAGCCCATAGTGCTGAGGAGACACCAAAGCCCTCCCTTCCAAGGACATTGCAGGTTACAGCAAGCCACATCCCAGGGCTCCATTCTCCCTCCCTTTGTGTGGAATTTGCATGACCCTGCCCACTGCCTCTCCCTTAACCCTTATCTACCCTTTCCTATGGCACACAGCAACTGAACACACTGAGGAGTTTGGGGAGAATTAACCGTGATTTATAGTTGTTGTAGGGACTGGGATGTGCAGTTCACCTCCAATCTAAGAGCACTCTGAACCCCACCAATGATGGACCTGGAACTAACTTGGAACACAGATCCAACATGGTGAACTTTGCATATTGGCGGGCTTTGGGGGCAATTGACCTTGACATTCAGGAGTTATAGTTCACCCATATTCAGAGAACACTGAACCCATCTGACTAAACATGGCACACAAATTCAACATGACCAACTGGGAATACTGGTGGATTTGGGAGTAAATGACTTTTAACTCTGTATAGATTCCCTGTATTCTGTGAGCCCTCTGAACCCACATCCTTATGCATTTTCTAATGGGAGCATTCATTAAAAACAACAGGAAAGACTAAGTGTTTTTCTAAGAAATAGCATAACATTTGACCAAAGTGATATTACCTAACATCTAAAAACAAGTGCAGAAAGTTGAGAAATCTACTCATGCCCTTCTAAAGACGGTTTTATTGCCATATGAGCAAATTTGCAACTATTGGGTATATTTGCAATGTTTTAAACTATTGGATCTGAGACAGCCTTTCAAGATGCCTCATTCTAGGATGTGCCTGATGCTAGGGAACTTCGTCCAGCTTCAAACACAAACTAGTGATGAAAGGGGCAGTATAGAAGACCTAATAAATATTTACCATAAGTGAACATGCGTGGTGAAGTCAACTCAATGTTAGGAAGAGCTCCAAGATGGTTTAACACGGCACATCGATAACCGTTCTTCTGGGCATAGTCAACAAAGGTACGGATGTACTGCTTCTCACTGTGATTAGCTATTCCAGGGCAGATTACCATTGTGATATCTTCTGCATGGAAGAAAAAATTGGAGGAACAGATTTTGAAAGAAAGCAAAAAGAATCACTAAACTCTGATGGATGTATTTCGTTTTAGCAAATGTTACAGCAAAGACAGCATACACATTGTTTCAGGCCAAAGCAATAGATCCAAGAGAACACTGGAACTGATTTAATGGGTCTATTCCAGTTGGGACTAATAAATAGATTTAGGCAAATGTACCATATATACTTGAGTATGAGCCGACTTTTTTTAGCACATTGTTAAGGCTGAAAAAGCCCCCCTCGGCTTATATTTGGGCTGGCTTATACTTATTGGTATATATTTTTATTTTTTATTTTTGCAGTATAACTTGAGGCATCAAATTTTACCACAAAAACCTGAGAAAACGTATTTGTTTGGGGATAAGTCGAAAATGGGAAATGCAGCAGCTACTGGTAAACTTCAAAATAGATATTAATAACATTACATTAACTGAGGCATCAGTAGGTTAAATGTTTTTGAATATTTACATAAAACTGTAATTTAAGATAAGACTGTCCAACTCTGATTAAGCCATTATTCTAATCTTCTTCAAGGTAAATGTGTAAAATAATAAATATAGTAAAAATAATAGAGTAAAATAATGTAAATGTAATAACAATAATAATAAGAGTAAAATAATAAATGAAATGTAAATGTAAAATTAAAAAGTGTAAAATAATAAATGTAATAGTAATAATAGAGTAAAATAATATATGTCATACTAATAAATAATAATAATACGAAATCCATATATATCTCGTTTGCTGTGACATACTGTGTTTTTGTGTCAGTAAAATAATAATAATAACAACAACAACAACAACAGAGTAAAATAATAAATGACAACTCGAGTATAATCTGAGGGAGGCTTTTTCAGCCTAAAAAGGGAAAAACCCAGCTTATCCTCAAGTATGTATAGCATGTTGAAGATACTACTCTCTCTCCTTCTGTTTTTTTTATGCAGTTGGAAGTAATATAATATAAGCTTCATTTTTTAAAGATAATGTCAACGATGCTAAGCAGTGGAAAAACACTGACTGAACACAATCAGATTCCTGTAGCATGTTAAGAAGAATGTTTATAAAATCTTAGAGCCCTACTATTTTTCCTTAAGGATATAGAATCATAGAATCAAAGAGTTGGAAGAGACCTCATGGGCCTCATGGTCCAACCCCCTGCCAAGAAGCAGGAATATTGCATTCAAATCACCCCTGACAGATGGCCATCCAGCCTCTGTTTAAAAGCTTCCAAAGAAGGAGCCTCCACCACACTCCGGGGCAGAGAGTTCCACTGCTGAACGGCTCTCACAGTCAGGAAGTTCTTTCTCATGTTCAGATGGAATCTCCTCTCTTGTAGTTTGAAGCCATTGTTCCGCGTCCTAGTCTCCAAGGAAGCAGAAAACAAGCTTGCTCCCTCCTCCCTGTGGCTTCCTCTCACATATTTATACATGGCTAAGAGACTCAGGCCTCTGTAAGTCAGCAAAACAACCATCCCGAGCACAGAAAATTCAGAATATTAAGCAGTGTGTTTTAAGCATGTGGATAACATTCAAAGCCAACAGATAGATTTGTTTTGCCTTTAGATAGACATCAAGTATACTGTAACTATCACACTTTAAATTATGACAAATACTGACTATTCAAGTATATTTCAGCTTTAATTAAACTCTAGTGAAGAATGGAAAAACCCACAGCCCTAACAAGCTGTTTTAAAGACTTTAATCCCAGACATAGTGTTGCTTATGGCCCACAAGGATGGCTTTTTTATACCCAATGTCTAAACAGAAAATTCAGCTGTGCATATGTGATTCATAGCACTAACTCTAAGATTTAAAAGCCAGGAACAATACTGAACACTTTATGGGCTCCGGATTCACAATGTGGTAACCTATGGCAATGAAAGGTAGCACTACTATTTTCTCAATTATTTACTTATGGTTTTAGGTCAGCAAACAATGGACAGGCACAGTTGGGTTGTCTCACCTCTAATGCAATTTTCAGCTAGTGGTTCAAAGAGGTCAAAAGTTGATGTTGCACCATCTGGCATTGTGAGGTACTTGCGAAGTCCATAAGGATGCGGGGATCTTACTCTCCCCATCTTCCCATAAAGGGCAGTCTGGATGTGACCACTTTTTCCCCAAATCAGAGGTGGAATGTACCTAAAAAAGAAATAAACATATTTCTAAGACACCAGGACTCATGTTTTCAATAAGGAGATTGATCCTAAGGCAGGATATTATGGCATTCCAATGTGTCCACTAATCTGCTTTATTTGTTAAACATTAAGAAATAAGTAGCTCTGAAACCATAACTTGGCAAAAGATACCAGACTGGGCTCAACTGATCTAATGCCAGCTGGGATGCGATGATTTCTGGAAAGCATGCTGCTACAGTCTAGAATGGTTATGAAAGCATTTTAGTTCAAAGAAGGAAGAAATATCTGTGGCACATTTATCAGGAAAGTGGTCCGGCCTGGTGCCAAAGCAGATGGCCTTTTATCTCAGATTTAGTCTCTTATGTATTGAAGAACAAAACCTGAAGAGGGAAGGAAAAGAAAGGAGGAGAGGATGGTTTTTATCTATCTATTAACACAGCTGCCAGGAATCATCTGATGCATAATCCAAAGCTGTCAGACCAGAAAAGCCTTTTCTGGAAAGCCATTATCAAGGTTAACTCATGACTCAAAATAAATGCTGCTCACAGAGCCAATGCAAACAAAATTAGTATATTTCATGGTCAGCATGCATGTTGCTATATTGTTTTAATAATGTGCACCACTGGCAGGTGAGCTTCCAAGACTTAAGGTAAAGGAAAAGGTTTCTCCTGACATTAAGTCTACTCATGTCTGACTCCGGGAGGTGATGCTCATCTCCATTTCTAAGCTAAAGAGCCAGCGTTGTCTGTAGACACCTCCAAGGTCACGTGGCTGGCATGACTGCATGGAGCGCAATTACCTTCCAACAGAAGTGATACCTATTGATCTACTCACATTTGTATGTTTACGAACTGCTAGGTTGGCACAATCTGGGGCTAACAGTGGTAGCTCACCCTGTTCCCTGGATCTGAACTGCCAACCTTTCGGTCAGCAAGTTCAGCAGCGTTTAACATGCTGCACGACCAGGGGGCCCCTTTCCAAGACTTTGTACCGTACATTATGAGAAGAGTCAGAAATGAATTTACCTTCCCATTTTGAAGTGACTACCAGGAACTAACTAAATTTTATATAATTTAGATGTTTTAATAAAGGACTTATATTCTCCCTTTGTGAAGTTCCAGTAAATCTGATTGCAGTTTTTAGGGCTTGCTGTTGTTTCTAATACCTTCCAAGCAGACTCCTGTAACATGTGTTCTAGTAATTCAAACGGGAAGTAATGGAGGCATGGGTCACTGGAACCAGATTTGGCATCTCTGGGAGCAGTGATAACTGGTGCACTTGCAAGCGTACTCCGGGCCACTAGCAAAACCTGATCTTCTAGGCTCAAAGACTGAGATTAGGAGTATACTTAAAATCTGAGACTTCAGGGGGCATGTAATAATAATAATAATAATAATAATAATAATAATAATAATACTTTATTTGTACCCTGCCACCATCTCCCCATGGGGGCTCACTTACATGAGGCCAAGCCCAGTACCACAATACATCAATATAACAAAACAAAGCAATAAAATGTAAAAATACAAATACAATACAATACATGTAAACCCATGCAGCACAGAGACCTCATTTACACTGCCATATAAAACATTATGCTCTTTATTTACTGTCCTGGTTTTAGAGTTTTTAAAATACTGGTAGCCAGATTTTGTTCATTTTCATGGCTTTCCTCTTTTCTATTGAAATTGTCCACATACCTGTGGATTTCAATGGCTTCTGTGTAGTCTGGCATGATAATTGTTAGAGCAAAACCAGGAGAATTCCAGACAAGAATCAATCAGGGCCAGCTAACATCTCTGAACAAAGGATTCCCCAGGCAGCAATCAGCCAGGCTTTGAAGCTGCAAGGCCATTAAATGCTAATCAAGATGGCCATTTGCAACATTCACGTTTGCCTCCAAGAGACGAGTTCTTTCTCCCACCCTGGATATTCCATAGATATATAAACCTCACTTGCTGAGTTTCCAACAGACCCCCACAACTTCTGAGGATGCCTGCTATAGATGTGGGCAAAACGTCAGGAGATAATGATTCTGGAACATGGTCATACAACACAGAAAACTCACAGCAATCCAGTAAATATGCTACTCACTCTTTGGTTAGAAGAGGGCATGACTTGAGTAGGAAGCGGGCCAAAGGAGTGTCTTGGTATATGAGATCAGGAGAGGCAGTTGGACTCTTCAGATTCAGGCAGCGGACAATAATGTACAGAACAGCAGCTACAGCAGCTAACTTCACCCCGTCAAACACTGCCGGCAGCTCAGGGGTTTCCATTAAGGAGTTCATCTTGAAATCTGGAAGAAGAAGAAGAAAAGAAAAGCTCAGAAAACTATTTCCAGCAGTCCAAGAATCCTTATAAAGCAATGTAATAGCCTTTTGTTAAGTACAGTGTGAGAAATGCTTTTAAGTATAAAACCATTCATATAAAGGTCAATTCAGAGCAGGCTCACAGAGAATGTACTATTGGGTTTAGTTTGAGAACTGTGTTTCCCTCTTTAAAAAAATTCTCTGGATTTTACACTACAATAGTCCAACAAAGAAGATAAAGCTTCTATGGGATCTATCCCAACGATGTATTTTCTTTAATTGGATATATAAGGAGTTTAAAGAAAAGAGATTCCAGCTAGCAACTCTATAACAGAACTATAATTTAGTCTAGAACTATACTTTAAGGCAAACATTTCATGCCTAAATATTATAAACTAACCCATCAATACTGCAGGTTTATTGTTATGACCAAAGGAGGGAAAACAAATGATTTGAATATATGTTTTGATGTAACTGTCTAACTGCTATGCTAAACTTCAAGTCCAGCTTAAACAATGATACCAAATCAAGGAGAACCAGTAACTAAAGGTAAAGGTTTCCCCTGACATTAAGACTAGTTGTGTCTAACTCTGGGGGTGGTACTCATAATAATACTAATACTAATACTACTACTACTAATAATAATAATAATAATTTTTATTTATACTCCGCCACCATCACATGAGGCCACACCCATCAATACAGAAACACAATATAACACAAAAAACACAACAGAAAATCAGAAAATAAAATAACATAAAATAAAAAAATACAAAATATAAATATACAGCACAACAATATAAAATCAAAACATTAAACCACTAAAAATTAATACAGTGGGCAGGGCCAGTTCAAAGATTAAAATTTTAAAACACTGGGAGATAGGGCAGTGTAAAATATGAGGAAGGTGATCCGGGGGATAAGGTAAGAGTTCATCTCCATTTCTAAGCCGAAGAGCTGGTGCTGTCTGTAGACACCTCCAAGGTCATGTGACCGGCATGACTGCATGGAGTGCTGTTATCTTCATGCTGAGATGCTAATTATTGTTCAACTCATATCTGCATGTTTTCAAACTGCTAGGTTGGCAGAAACCGGGCCTAACAGCAGGAACTCACACCACTCCCTGGATTCGAACCACCAACCTTTTAATCAGCAAGTTCAGCAGCTCAACGGTTTAATCTGCTGCACTACTGGGGACCCAGAGCTTAATATACAAGCATATTTTTCTAATCCCCATAGACAGAAAGCCAAGATCTTTATTGTGTTTCAGGAAAGATGACTTACAAGAAAATCAATCTTCTGAGTAGCCTTGAGCCTCTTTATTGAACTATTGTGTAAGAAGACTCTATGAAACTAGCAAGTCACATTTCATCATTACTTGCAAAGTTTATTTAGTAGCAGCCATTTCCATTTTAAGCCTCAAACATTTTTGCAAAATTCCACTTCCAAGACTCTAGAGCAGGCATGGGCAAACTTGGGCCCTCCAAGTGTTTTGGACTCCAACTCCCACAATTCCTAACAGCCTCAGGTCTCTTCCTTTTCCCCCTCAGCCACTAATTCTTGAGTCTTATATTGGCTTGATGGAAAAGTGAGCTACATCAGTATATTTTCATTTTCTGACAGGGTTTATTCTCTTTCCTATTCAGATTTAAACTGTGCAATCAATTTATTTTCACTGTTATTTTTATCATATAGATTGCTACTTTTATTCACCCTTTACTTAGCGATTCAATGTAACTATTGCTTTTCTGTTTTGAAAAGTATTTATTGCTCTTTGATAAGCTGTGAGAATCTTTTGAGCATACAGAAAAGCTTGATACAAAGAGAAACAACGAGATCTGAAGGATAGTGAAAAGGTGGGGGAGAGTGTTTCAAAATATCCTTTTCCTAAAAACTTTGCAAATGTAATTACTCTTGGTGCTGACGAAACAGTCTACTAGATTACACAGACAGCTTTACAAAAGCAGAAAACAAGTATGGAGATAATTTCTCTGTAGCTTCCAATTCTGGCTCATTCTGTGTTTTAACAGGAAATATGTTGCTAGGTTGTTTACCAAAGCAACAGCACTCTTCTTTGACTGACCAAGTACAATTTGAAGGATGCTCAAGGTGGTCCCTGACAACGGACCCTCCTGTTCAAGGAGCTCCACTGGCTGCCATTCATTTTCCAGACCCAATTCAAGGTGCAGGTTCTTACCTACAAAGCCCTGAACGGTTTGGGACCTGCCTACCTGCGTGACCGCATCTCTGTATACGAACCTACGCAATCCCTTCGATCATCCGGAGAGGCCCTACTCTCGATCCCACCAGCATCGCAGGCGCGATTGGTGGGGACGAGAGAGAGGGCCTTTTCGGTGGTGGCCCCTCGACTCTGGAACTCACTCCCTAAAGACATCAGACAGGCCCCAACTCTGGCAGTCTTCAGGAGGAGCTTGAAGACGTGGCTGTTCCAGTGTGCCTTCCCAGAATAATGATCCCATAGCACTTTGTCCTCCAAAGCACTTTACATTTCTTTAGGTCTGCTCGGATGCCCTTCCACAAACACCGGTATCACCTTTTCGTCCATGTTCCAGCATTATTTCCAATTTTAACTTTACATTTGGCCTTCCCACTGTTTTTAATTGTGTGTTGTCTTATTGATAATGTTGTATATTTTATTGTCTACGTTTTTTATTTTAATTGCTTGTATTGTTATTATTGCTTGTATTGTTGTATTTGGGATCGGCCTCATGTAAGCCGCACCGAGTCCCTTGGGGAGATGGTAGCGGGGTACAAATAAACTGTTGTTGTTGTTATTATTATTATTATTAACTCCTAAACAACGCATTTGAAGCATATAAACTCACCTGTGAGGCGTGGCACTTATTCCTAAATACAGGAAACTCGCGAATCTTCTAAGCAAATCTCTTGTTCAAGTCTAACTTAGCCTGAAAAATACAAATACACTGTATATTACTCTACTGGCAGCAGTGTCTGCTGGACTTAATCCCCTCCCACACTGCCACCCCTTTTGCCTTTTGTATCATGTCTTGATTAAATCGTAAGCCTGAGAGCAGGAAACTACTTTGCTGTTCATTTACTTGTAAAACTCCAAGGATGGGGATTTTTTTTCGTGTCAGGAGTGACTTAAGAAACTGCAAGTCGCTTCTGGTGTAAGAGAATTGGCCATCTGCAAGGACGTTGCCCAGGGAATGCCCAGATGTTTTGATGTTTTACCATCCTCGTGGGAGGCTTCTCTCATGTCCATACATGGGGAGCTGGAGTTGACGGAGGGAGCTTATCTGCGCTCTCCCCGGATTCAAACCTATGACCTGTCCAAAAAACTGGGGATGGCAGTATAGCAATACATTATGAGGTTTGTGATAATGATAGCAGTCTAATAAAGCACAAGTCTAGGAATTGCACAGAGCACAAAAAATCTGAAATACAAGAAGTTATCTGTCTTAAGGCTATCCTCTTATACTGGATACACATGACTAGTTGAAATGGCAGCCATAACATGGTATCTACACGGAAACAGCTGTTTCTCTGCAGAAAACAACTCACTGTAGATGTCTGTGACAATATGTTTTGCTTCAAAATACCGCAAAGTAATCTTTATATTATAAAACTGAACAACAAAGTAAGTTTGTTCATTTTGAAAAAGAAATAGTTGGAATTATGAACTACAGGCATCATTTTTCAGCAAATCAAGTGTGAAAGGACTAACAGGATACAAACAGCAGTTATCATGACATTAAACTGCCCTTTGGGAGTAACTATTTACTGTCCAAAGATCTCAATTGCTGTTAAGACACAACTAGGGTCCATTTTGTATAAAATGTCTGCTGAAATAGCTGTAACTATGTGTGCACAGCAACAGGAGGGAGGGATCATATTTATTAATTACTAGTTTGGGGAGCTGGTAATGCCCGGATTATTAGAATTTAGTGAATTCTCCCCAAGCCGCTCAAGTATGTTCAGTTGCTGATCAATTCTTCTGCTTGTGTGCCATAGAAAAAAAATGGGAAAGGATTATGGAAGAGGCAGTGGGTGGGCGAGGGGGTCATGCAAATTCCACACCAATGGAGAGAGTAAGGAACACTGAGGTGACTGTTGTGGAGGAAGAACACAAAGTCTAGGATGAAATTGTCCCCTATGAAAGCCTTCACTTGGGTGGTGGGAAGTATGGTGTTTGAGGAGGACACTGGCAGGGATTGGGCTACATGTTCATGGCACTCGCTATAACCTGCAATGTTATTCAAGGGAGGGCCATTGGAGTCTCCTGCATAGCGGGAGCTATAGGTGTTTGTGGAGGTAGATGTTTGTCTATGTAAGTGGACACTCCTGCCACATACACACACATATATTTTCAGTTTTATTATGTGTATAGATATAGATATAGAAGATAGATAGATGTGTATAGATAGATTTATTTACTACGTTTATATCTTGCCCTTCTCACACCAAAGGGGACTCAGAGCGGCCTTAGAAATAGGCAGTAATTTGACGCCATAACATACATACAGTAAAATAAACACATATACATTGAAGTCAGGAAATTATAACATCAATATTAAAACCAGTTATTAAAATCACATCGTCCAAAATCAAATCCAAGGCCATTCCATCAGTCATTTCACTATTCCATATTTTCGTATTGCACTAACTTGCTAGCCAAAAACTTGGTCCCATAACCACTTTTTTACTTTCTTCCTCAAGAGGGAGGTGAAAGATAGTGAGAGATACACGGGAAGAAGAACAGAGCTTGTTTCAAAACAGTTGTCCTCAATCTCTCGTATCTTAAGGCCTATCAACTTGGGTCCAACCACTCTAGAAACAGACATCCTATTTTCCCAAGAAATAGAATATGAACTAAAATTTCATATTATAAAAGGATTAAAAATACAGTACATTTTAATGGCATTAAAATTGTGGTAGCATTGTTGGAGTAAATGCAAACAAAATTAACAATGCCATTAATACTTTTAATGGGTATAAAAACCTGCATCTCCACAAGATTAATTCTCCATGCAAACTACATTATGCATAGGATTGGTTAAAATCCCGTAATCTAAAATTATATAACAACAAAGACAGAGAGATATTGAGTTAAAAGCATTTATTTGCAACAAAGAAAAGACAATAATCTGCTGAATTCTCCAGGACTTTCCAATAGGAGGGTATTCACCAGGTACAGATAAAACACCAAAAATAAATAATATGTAACTGCATAAAACATAGATCTGCATCCCATTTGTCGAATGCATGCCTTGACTTTCCTTTGGGTATTCCATTAAAAAGTAGTCTGGCAGAAGTTAGCACAAAAAGAACATGAAATTCAGTAGGGTACATCTGATAAATTAGTTGTGGATAATCCACCTACGGTAGGCACAAATTTACAAATGCATGGGTAAAACAGATTTTAACATGCAAACATTTGGCTAAGTGAAGACCAGAGACTGCTATGCTAATAACCATTACCAGTGCAAGAGTGGTTGAGCTGCCCAAAGCATTATTTTCAAAAAAATATTTTTTATCCAAGAAACAGACAAAACACACAAACATGTACATTAGTGGAAGAATACAGGATAACATCAGATAAGCTCTCAATCTGGCTGGGTACCTGCAGTAGATCCCCACAATGGCATCCTAATTGTTTCCCTATAGTTAGTAGGAGCCCCCGGTGGCACAATAGGTTAAACCCTTGTGCTGGCAGAACTGCTGGCGGTTCGAACCCTGGGAGTGGGGAGAGCTCCCATCTGTCAGTTCCAGCTTCCCATGCAGGAACATGAGAGAAGCCTTCCACAGGATGGTAAAACATCCGGGTATCGCGTGGGCAACATTTGTGATTTACCTTGACGAATTGGCTTTATGTAATTCTTGATCTGTATTTTAATGTGTTTTAATGTATTAATGTACTATGATGTTATTATGCTTTAATTTATTTGTATATTGATTTTCTGTTGTTAGCCGGCCTAGGTCCCTCCTTGGAGGTCGAGAAGACCGGGTTAGAAAAGCTCTAAATAAATAATAAATAAATAAATTTACAGATGGCCAATTCTCTCATACCAGAAGTGACTTGCAGTTTCTCAAGTCGCTCCTGACATGGAAAAAAAAAATTGTTAGTAGTTTAACTTGTGCCATTTTTGGAATCAGCAGGTCAAACATAGCAAGAAAGAGGCCTAACATTAGAGGCACCAAAATGTGTGTTGGTTAGAATAATCTTGAAAATGCTTTGCTTTTAATGTTTTCTTCAAGGCAAGACTGTTAGAATTAAAACATTCTCAGACCATGAACTTGATTTATGTTAAAGAACTGAACTGAGATCACAACATCCATACCTGGTTACCCCACACATTTCATTTTGCCAGCACTAGGGTAAGGAGGAACTATTAGTTCCTGCTTGATAATGTTCTGCAAATTCCCTGGAATCTATTAGAGCTGCCTTCTACCCATCTATGCACATGACAGAACCAATCAACTTGTGTGTTAATCTCCAGCCTTCATTCTACACAACTTTCTTTTCAGCACTACACAGCATTCTAAGAAAGGTACCTTTTCATACAATAGTCATTGCTAAAGCTATTATGTAATCCATGCAATTATGTGACATGCATTGCTATTGTGCTTACGGAACAGGAAGTCTAAGTACATCACTGTACAATTAAAACACAAAGACTATTAGTCACAAGTTGGAATTGCTTACTAATAACGTAGCCAAGTAATAACTCCAATTTAAGTTCTTATTTTACACTTTAAAAA